CTGACATCGATGCCTTACATGCTGCCGGATGGCGAGATCTTGGCTTTCTGCTGCCCGGTCGTCATAGAGAGTGCTCTGCGGGTCGAAAAAGCGACTGTCGCTCTTGTTGGCCGGATCGTAATGGAGCTCGGTATAGCCTGCTTCAGTGGTAGACTCGTTTCCCGATGCCCTTGGGGTAACAAACTTGTCGACACCTTCGTACGTACCTAAGTAGAATCAGGAAAGAGAGCATTGCAACGAAGCGAACTTATAAGATTTGAAATGTACAAAACATGGCGTAGCACCTCACTATCCCCGCGACGTTTGCACAAACACGGGTTTTCAAGGCTGGCTTTGCGGATCTATTCCTAAACTCGAAACAAGACAACAGCTCCAAGCCCCCAAAACCGTCGACAACAAAACCCTAGACCCTAAACCCAAAGATCTTACACGTCGGCGTGCTATTGCCTTGATCGGCATAGATCTCGAGCCGCAATCTCCGGCCATCGAGGAGGCTGACCTGCAACTTGAGGCTTCAGGTCTCGGGGGGTCAGGGTTAGGGTGGGTTTGGGGCTTCGGGGTGTCGGATTCTTGAGGGCAACAATAAAAGACTTGGGTAATTAAGGCTTCGTTAACTGGACCCTGCCTAACCGAAGTCACAACAACGAACAAGGTAGGTTCTTTGGGGTTTTGGTGGGCCTTGGGGCATGGGCTTTTTGTGGGAGGGGCTTCAAGGCTTTGAAGGGGAAGAGGGCATCTCCGCTGTCGCTTTTCTTTGATTCAGGCAACTGGGGTTTTGCTGTGTACCGGGCCTCTGGCCATAAAGCTTGGGGCGTAATTACTATAGACTTCAAGGTTTGTAGGGTTAGGTTTACGGTGTAGGGTTGAGGGTTTACGGTTTAATGTTTGGGGTTTAGGGCTTTCGAGTTGGGTTTTGGCTTTAGGAGGCTCCTTATGAGACATCTAGACGACTTATGCCTCGAGGATCAATTGGTGCCTTCAGTGTGCGCTGCGGGCAAAGCACTGGCGACTGCAACCCTCAGAGAGCCGCCGGCACCCCAGAAGCTCCCAAAGCCTAGATCAAAGGATCTATATTTATGATTTTTTGTATTTCTTGTTCTAAAAAGGACGACACAGGGTTAAGTATATTGAAGTATTTAGTCCGGATTTGGTTTAAAGCGTGCAAGACAGAGCGGTACACGACAGTAAACCAGAAGACACTCTGAAATACGAAGCCTGAACCTCTAAACCCCTAAACCCCAAAGACTAAACCCGAAATACCCTACACCCCTAAGCCCCCAAACGCCTCTAGACCCTGCACCCCCAAACCCTCAGCAACAAACCCTAAACCCTAAACCCAAACCCCTAAAGACCCCAACCCCTAAACCCTAACCCCTGAACCCCAAACCCCAAACCCTAACCCCTAAACCCAACAAAGACACCGGCAGCCAAGGCTCTTCGAGCCAGGAGTGCGAAGTCAATCCTCGGCTCTTCTCGTGGCGTACCTGCGCTAACTCAGTGGTTCCCGCCAAAGGTTCCCCTGAAAATGTTCCTAGGCGGGCTTCGGGTTTGTAGGGGTGGGATTGAGGCTTCAGGGTTTCCTCGGTTTTTGGTGTTTTTATGCCTCTCCATGCAGTTTGAGGCTTGAGGCTTGAGGGTGAGGGGGAGGAGGGGAGGGTTTAGGGTTTAGGGTTTAGGGTTTAGGGTTTGGGGTTTAGGTTAGGGTGCGGGGTTTGAGGTTTTCGATGTCGGGCTTTGGGGTTTCAGGGGTTTTGGAGGATCTCGAGACTTCTGGCTTGATTTAAGGCCGGAGTACCCAGAAAAGGGTTTAGGGTTTAGGGTAGAAGAGGGTGTCGGGATAAACTCTCTACCATAGCTAAAGGGGCTCCAAAGGAAGACTGTTACTAAACATCAAGACCCCTACACAAAATCACGCAAACCCCAAAACGCTTAAGAAGAACCTTCATGTGAAGTGATTCCTGGGGTTTCTCGCTTTTTGGAGGACTGGGCTTTGACGTTCCGATCGCGAGTTCAGGGGATGCTTTGAGCTTAGACGTAATGGTTCGGGGCTTACGGTGTCGGGCCATTTGTGAGGCCTTTCGAGTCTTGGTGTCAACTGGGTTTACCGGATGTAGAGTTTAAGTCTTATGGGGCTTGTTGGAATTTGCGGCTTATCGGGTTTAGGGTCATGGGGTTTAGGTTGGTAGGGTGATAGGGTAATATCGGGTTCTTGATGATAAATTACTAGGGTTAGTTGTTTGGAGGGTTGTGCCGCTTAGGGTTGCTAGAAGCTGGCTTACAGCGATCCGAGGCGAACTTCTCCGCAGAGGATCGGGCTAGGGACAGAGGTCTAGTCGGTTACCGTTGAGTCCAACATTTTCGTCAGTTTTGACAATGTATGCATCGCGCAGTTGCTTCTTGTCATGAATTGCCTGAGTAGGTAATGCTGCTATACCCATAGGCTCCTTAGTAGTTCCTTTTCGGGTTTACCTTCTTGGACTCTAAACTTTTAGCCACAAAAAAGAACTACTTAGGAGCCCATAGGTATGGTTTAAGTAAACCCAAGCGAGATCCGACCCTCTCAATCTGTGTGGAAGCCGCCTTACGCCATTCCACGTACACGACGCGGCGAGGGTTCTCCACCCATGCGACATAATCCTGCGGCGTGTGAAATTAAGGGCCAGGGGAGTTTCAGTCAAAGGCTCCGGGCACTCAATTTGCGCAACTCCAAACATCCTGGCCGCAGCCTGTGCTCGTCGTGATTAGGGCTTAATGTGATCTCCCTATTGGCTTTGCAATTAGGGGTGTGCAGGCGGTTTTGGGGCAGTATCCATCAGCACGCAGGAAGATTTTCCAAACTACTTTGCGTATGTTTGAACACGCTTAGTTGTTCGCCAGCTGTGCCACGGCGAACGACAGCAAGTCTTCGCAGACTTCGTCACAGAAGGCTTGTCCATCACCTGCCTGGCACCTGAGATCCTGATGCCATGAACATTGAAGCTGGTATACATTGACATCAAGGCCTCTTGTCGAACGACGACAGTTCTTGCAAGACGGCGACGAGTTTGGCGCACGGCGTCTACACCTTTATGAATCCACGCTAAGCCCTACCTAAACCCCCCCAGAAGTAGGTAAAACAATGGCCCAAAACCTCTACAAGGCTATTACGGCTATTATTCTACATACTTTTGGGGTCCAGGTAAGCCTTAAGCCGAGCCTTAGAAGGCCATGTGTAAACAAAACCGGCAACCTCCGCACTCTCGAAGTGCGATCGGCCCATGGCGGAAGCAACGAACGGCTGATGGTTCAGGGTTTAGCGGTTTCGGTTTTAGGGGCCCAGGGTTTAGGACTTAGTGTTTGGGGGTCAAGCGTGTTAGGCTCAGGGTTGCTGCTTCAAGACCTTTCGAACTTCAGGATGTCGGTTTAGGGTTTAGGCTTTAGGGTTTAGGGTCTAGGCTCTAGGATTTAGGGTTTAGGGATGTTGGGCCAGGTTGACACCAGTAATCTGAGGCCTGAAAAGGGTTGAGGGCTTTGGGCGCTCCTTGAAGGGTTCCTTTGCGGGCTCCTTTAAAGGATTCTTCATACAACGACGGAAGAAGGGCTTCTGAGAGTTTGAGATTCCAGTCTAGACCCCCTTCTTCGGGCTTACCTCATGCGTCCGTGGCTGGAAAAAGAGTTCAGGGTTTAGGGTTCAGGGTTTTGGGTTAAGGGTTTAGGCCGCATGAGCCGAGGTTCAAGATTCCTAGCTCGGGGTCAAGGGGTGCAGCGGAAGCTTTGAGCGTGCTGCGTGCGGAATCGAGCAGCGCAGATGCCAGCAACTAAAGCGGTAGCTGTGCACACAGGGAGATAGAGAGGTAGATAGACAGATAGATGGATAGATAGATAGATAGATAGACTGATAGATAGATACATAATTAAGACTTAGATAGGTAGGTAGATGGATAAATAGATAGATACCCATGCAACAGCTTCTGCAAGCACTGCCTTCAAAGGTCTGCGGCTTGCTAGCCTCACCATCATCTGGAAGCGTTTCACGTTCACCAGATATAAAAACAGCACAGGACAACTGGCTCGAGCGTGCGGAGCAACCTATGCCTCCTCGTCTGTGCCAGTTCCCATACACACTATAAGCTGTAGGCGGCCGGAATATTTAGACTAGAGTGGCATGTAATATCAACCGCTACACGACGGAGGTGCCTTGGCTCGTTGCAGAGAAAGGGTGTGACGGGTTATTAGAGGTGTCCGGGCTCAAGCTTGGTTTAGGGTGGAGGGCTTAGAAGAGCTTGTGGTTTACAAGGGTTTGTGGTCTATAAGGGTTAAGGGTTTTGGGCTCGCAATATATATGGGTTTAAGGTTTAGGGCCGAGGGTTTAGAAGGGTTCAGGGTTCATAATTTGCAAGGGTTTAGGGGTTAGGTTTAGGGTTTAGGGTTGACGAAGGCTGAGGTGTTCGGCTTCCGGCTTGCGGGGATCCAGGTTGATAGCTTCAGGGATTGCAGGGCCTTGCGTGTCGCATGTGCTTGTTCGAAATTGGGGGCTTTGGCAGCTTCGATGCCCGGCAATTGGAAAAACTTGCAAAGTGGGACTAATTTATGGATGCCCAAGTCTTCAGATCGCCGACAAGAAGACGCCGAAGAGGATGGCGGCACCCAGCGCTGTGGGCTGTGAAGACGAAGTCCCCGAAGCCTCTGAAGAGGTCGAAACCCAAAGCCCTAAACCAAAAACCAAACCGAAAACGCTAAACCCTAAACCCAAGAACAAAACTAAACCCTAAACCCTAAACCAAAAAAACGAATAACCTTTAACCAAAAAAACCTACGAACCCTCAACCCAAGACTCAAAACCGTACCCTTGTCTTCGAGGCCTCTGAAGAGGTCGATGTCCCTCCTGGGCAGTTGTCCTTGGTGATGCTGCACAGGCCTGGGCTTTGAAGCAACCAGGGAAAGAGAAAGGCATGAACTGTTGTTTCACCCATGGTTTCCTTTTTGTACTTGTAGTATTTTTATGCCCCAAAACCTTAATTCTACTTTGGCTCCTTGCAGGAACAGGTTCCCCCCAGAAGAGTAGTAAAGTATGGTACTGAACAGGTTCCCTCCAAAAGAGTGGTAAAGTATGGTACTTGCAGAACCCAGAGGCTGCTCCACACCTGGTAGGCTTCGTCAGCCTAGGCTCGCGTTTCACTCTTGGGCTTAGGGTTTAGGGTTCCTAAAAGAGTTCCGTTTAAGGGATCCTTTAAGGGTTACTACAAGGGCTTCTTTAAGGGTTCTATGTACTATGGATCCTCGCAGTGGTAACTGCAATTATGTTCCGTAGCATGAACCCAGCAGCAAGTAGGACACCACTGTCGCCCATCTGCTCGCAGTCGCCCAGATTCTGGTACTTGAACTTCTCAGGGATCTGCGAGCATGGTACGGTCTTCGAGATGATCTGGCCGCCCGAACCCCAGTCCTTCTCGAGGACCAGGCTAGACATCATTTGAGGCGCGTGCGACGACTGCCCAGTTTTATCCGTGCGCCAAAGATGCAGGATGTTCTTCAACTGGTCCACGGTGGAGCTACGGAACTTGAAGATAAGAATGGCGGTCGGAGTCATGAGCGTCTGGTTGTACACCGCATCGAGCGTACAGTCTTGCATGCGCGCTCCGTTCACGGTGCTCACAGACATGTTGTTGTCACACATCGCCTTGTGGCTGCACTGTTGAGGAACATAGGCTTGAGTTACCAGAATAGTAACCTAGAGTAAAGAACATGGCTTCCCTGTCATGATAGCTTACATTACGCTCCTTAGCCAGAGCCCAGCCTGGCGAAGCGTAGATCCCAGCGAGCAGCCCGTCCACATCACAGGTCCATCTGCGTTCACATAGCTCTGCATCCTCTTCACCCCCCCAAACCCTAAGCCCTAATAAACCCTAAACCCTGCATCCTCTTCACCCCCCCTAAACCCCAAGCCCTAAGCCCTAAACCCTAAACCCTGCATCCTCTTCACCGCCATGTCCCCGAAGTTGCTCGCCTCGCCATTCGTGTTTTGGAACCACAGGTTCACGTCCTCCAGGCCTCTGCTCTTGTTAGGGATCTTCATTTAAGCCACCACACTCGGGATCTATGGTAGCAAAAAAATGGGTGTTCCTTAACCCTAAAGGCCCCAAAATCTGTAGCAGCCCTTAGAGGAATCCTTAAAGGGAAGCCCATTAAACGGAACTCTAAGATCCCTACTATGGAAACTTAGAGTCAAACCCTAAACCCTAAACCCTAAACCCTAGACTCCTAAACCCTAAACCCTAAACCCTAAACCCTAGACTCCTTAACAAGAACCCAAGAAGCTTACAGACGGCGTGGCCTGCCTCATCCCCGGCCCTGGCAGCGTCTGCCAGGACCAGTAGCAGAGATCTGCATCGCCCATCTCGGCAGACTTCTGCACCAGCCTGGGTTTAGGGTTTAGGATTTAAGGTGGCTCTTGCGGAGGAAATTAAGTCAAGTTACCATAATTCGATTACCGGAGAGCCCTTTAAACTGAGTTCTTCAACCCCTATAGAACCCTTAAAGGAACCCTAAATTGTGTTAACTTCATTGCAATTCCTAATTTAAAAGGCCCTGATCCTGTATAGAAACCCCGAAACCCTAAAACCGCAAACCCTAACCCTGAACCCTGAAGCCTAAACCCTAAAATCCCTAAAGCCTAAGCCCTAAATCCCTAAAGCCCTACACCCTGAACCCTAAAGCCCCAAAAAACCCTA